TAAAAATTACGTGTCACGTTGTTTGTCCGCGATGGACTCCTAAACTACTGAACCGATTTTAAATTTGATTTGCATACCGTGTGCAATTTGATCCAACTTTAAAGATAGGATAGGTTACATCTCAATTTATAGTCGCAATATTATTTTATTGCAAATTATTTGTCTATTATTTGACAGTCACAATTATCTGTTACCTCCAAACGATTCTAACAGATGGCGATATCTGTAAACTGGATTGAGTAAGTATTCAATAGATGGCGCTATGTTAAAAATACAAACGTTTCATATAAGCTACAATTTAATAGCATAACCACCACGTGTTGCTGAGGCTAAGGTGGTACGAAAATTTTGATCAATCGTGTTCAAAGTCCTTCCCAATCCAATGGATTCTTATACCAGCTTTAACGTTTCCGTCTTCGTTCGTAAATACGTTTATCCCAAAAATATATTAAATAATAAATGTCCACCCGTACGAAGTCGGGACGGGCCGCTAGTGTAAAATATTTATCAATTATAAAATTGTCGTCCTTGACATTGCGTCTTATTATAGGTTCTAAAATACCTTGAATTGCCTTATTTCGTTCAGCTCATAAGCTCCTGGCGGTAGTTCAATGAAAGTAGTAGGTAATTTATTCTTCAATTTGAATCCAATAACATTATTTTTCTCATCAACATTTAATATCGAATTGTATGAGTAGAATCCGTGTAGTCCCAATCCATATCGACAACTTGTGTCTAGCTCAATTGGTGGGTAGAAGTTAGAGCTTAGCACGCTCCAGTGTCCAGATAATGTGAATGTACGGGACATGACTAACGCATATAACTTGTTAGCACTTTATTTTATTGTTGTTTACAGCAACAATTCAGATGTACTTCATCTCATGATGTTGGGGGAACGTCATAATAACCCTTGCAGTAAGATTATTCTCGGATGCTACTGTAATATCACGTACATTGCAATAACAGCACAAATTTTCTTGGTGCAGGTCCAGCATTCACATCAATAGACTGGGATGTGTTATCGTTACTGTGATGCTCCAAACAGTATTGATATTTCAATATATCAATGTCATTTTTAGATGTTTTGGTAATTTATCCCACATCCATGCGATTTCATTGGAAGCACATGTAATCATAACCTCTTTAGGAAAATCCGCTAATTGTTCCATAGTCAATTTTGTAAGAGTTCGATGCTTGGAGAAAGCTCGTACAGAATCAGCCATCCTTTTAATTTTTTCACGTTCTTGATTTGGTGTTGTTGTACAATCCATTATTACTTAGAAATTTTAAACACAAATGTCCACACCACACTGTATTGTAGCTCTGTTGACGCTCGTAATTATAATAAATTTTTATTTTTGGGTTTGATTTTATGTAGAAATATTTTACAAGCTCCTTGGGTGGGGGGAGATCTCCAAAACTGTCGTAGTAATTAATAATGTTACCGATTTTCTTATATGCCACCCAATGAGTTCCCTGACCATTTATACTATCTAAATTCAAAACAGCCGATTCGTTATGTCGGGCACCTCTCTCAGGAAGATTGTCTCGCATAAATACACCTCGAAAATATGGAATTTTTAAGATATCTGCATAATAGATAATATCTATATTGCTGAGAGCTCTTCGAGGTAGAGACTTTAGAAGTTTTTTGAATTGCTTGGGTTCAAATAAAGCCCTAAACCTGTTCGATATGGTTTTAAATATAATCCTTCGCCATTCTTTCCCAGGGATACAGATTCAATTTTTTTATTATTTGTTTTTTCAGATAGTCGTTGATTGGCATTTCTCACTTCGTTGATTGTTTTATATATACCTGCAGCACTGCC